GCTTTTGGGGCCTCCCCCTAGGTCGACTCAACCTCAAATGAGAACTTAGTGGCGATGTGCAGTAAACATCGCCACTGGGGGAGACAAAGGCGGCCGGGCGTGGTGCTGGTAGCCACCCACCCCCTCGTGCGCCACAGTGCCGGTAGCCTTCATAGCTGCCGCCACTCGCCAACAGCACTTGCCCCTGCAGTCCGTTGCAGGCTATACAGGGGATCTTTGTCTTTGGGGGTGAGTGATGCCCACTGTTGCTGATGATGATGATGGATTCAAAGATGCCCCCCTCCACCCCACACCCCCACCCCTCCCCCCCACACTCCCCACCCTTCCCCCCACCCCTCCCCCCCCACCTCCCCTACCCCTCCCCCCCCCACCCCTCCCCCCCCGCCTGCCCGCGCAGCCGTCCCAAGTCGATCTGCGCCCAACGGGCGGCGGACGCGTCGAAGGCTTGTCGCCTGAAACGTCGGGCCGTTGCTGCTGTCGTTGTGAACGCCCCAATAAAGGCGTCCGATGCCGAGTTTTTTCCGCTCGTTCTTTCAGGCCGAGTACACCTAGGGGGTGGCCCGGCATCTTTAACGTCGGTCAATCAACGGGCCAACACGCACGCACGCCGTACACCGTACACTACATGTTCAACAACAATATCCATATATATTAAAGGCAAAGTTGTGATTGTGTGTGTCTGTTCACAATGTTTAGCGTACTTCCCGGCATGCAACAAACCTGAAATTTGCCATGTGGGTACTTTCCAGACCGTACACCATGCAACAATTATAAAAAATAAACTTTTGTTTTTGGGGGAGGGGGGGGGGAGCTCGATAATGCCATTTATTTTTTTGCACGGCAAGTAAGCTGTGACGTCACATCTGTCACGTGACCCGCGCACGTGAAAGCGTAACGCATTGTAGTGTAGTGGTTAGCGTGCTGTGTGTGTGTGTCTGTCTGTGTGTGTCTGTGTGTGTGTGTCTGTGTGTGTAATCTGTGTGTGTCTGTGTGTGTGTGTAATCTGTGTGTCTCTGTGTGTGTCTGTGTGTGTGTCTGTGTGTATGTGTGTGTGCAAGCGTAACGCATTGTAGTGTAGTGGTTAGCGTGCTGTGTGTGTGTGCAATCTGTGTGTGTGTATCTGTGTGTGTGGAAGAGTAACGCATTGTAGTGTAGTGGTTATCGTGCTGTGTGTGTCTGTGTGTGTGTCTGTCTGTGTGTGTGTCTGTGTGTGTGTGTAATCTGTGTGTGTGTAATCTGTGTGTGTGTGGAAGAGTGACGCATTGTAGTGTAGTGGTTAGCGTGCTGTGTGTGTGTGTATCTGTGTGTGTGTGTAATCTGTGTGTATGTGTCTGTGTGTGTAATCTGTATGTGTGTGTGTAATCTGTGTGTGTGTGGAAGTGTAACGAATTGTAGTGTAGCGGTTAGCGCTACGCCTCGCTACGAACCCGGCGACCCGAGATTCGATTCCTACTCACGGCCACCACCACCGGTGACGATTATTTCAACCGCTCCTGGGCCTCCCCTAGGTCGACTCAGCATCAAACGCGTAACTGCTGTGCTGTGTGAACATCGCCACTGGGGGAGACAAAGGCGACCGGGCGTGGTGAATCCAAGTCCCGGGCGAAGCCGGGTAGTCCAGCTAGTAACACACATATATATAAAACAATAAGTGCTTTACCCCTTTGTGGCAATAACACAACAGCGGCTTAAGTTTTCGTGGTTGCAGGATTCCATAACTCTTTGGTTAAATTTTGATTCGAAGCTTTCGTGACTGCGGTAATTCACATCCTTAGCTCTTTCGGTAAAGTCACGTTTGAAAGGGAAACAATAAAATAATAAATAAATAAATATATAGAACAATAAAGAGCTAAGGATATAACTCTTTGGTTCTTTCGGTAAAGGCACCACGTGGTGTGTATGAAATGAAATCATAGGCCACGACGATCACGGCCGTGACGACGGTCGCTGGCGTAGCGCCCGAAACGTCGTGACCTATTGCTGTCATTTGTTCCTACCTACGTCGCTTTACGGAAAGAACCAGAGGATGGATATGACGTCATTTTTGTCGATTTTTTTACTCCACCCCCTCCTCTCGTCACACATCGTCACAAATGTCTGACCCCCCCCCCCTCCACCTCCACCACCTCCTCTCCCCCCCCCCCAGGTGCGTGACGTCATTTATGTCCGGCCCCCCCCCAAATAGATACGTCTTGTTTCGATTTAAAGCTTTCGTGACTGCAAGGATTCATCTTCTTTGGTTCTTTGGGTAAAGTCACCACCACGTAGAATGAGAATAAAATAATAAATTTATAAAATAACACAATAGTATTCTCACGACGTTTCGGCCGCAGCACAAGCGGCCTTCATCAGGTGAAGGGGACGAGACTGTCCTGGAGGACAGCGCTGGCTTTTTTCACTCCAGCGCTGTCCTCCAGGACAGTCTCGTCCCCTTCACCTGATGAAGGCCGCTGGCGCCGCGGCCGAAACGTCGCGAGAATTTCTATTGCGTTATTTTGTTTGATCGATCTTATCATCTCGTTCTCATTGTACGCGGCGGCGGGGGTGACTTCACCGAAAGAGCCGAGGAAGACGGACACGTCTCGTAGGCAATCACGCGTCTGCATGAACCCACACACGGTTGCTTGTGACAGCGTGCAAACAAAACGTGATCCGATCGCGCCCATGGCTTCGTGCAGACGCAGCAGCAGCAGCAGCAGCAGCCTCCTCCTCCATTGGCCGGGTGTCACAGCAGAGAACGCCAACACTACGCACCCGGTTTAACACGTAGCAGGCTTTCGCGACCAATGTTATTCATAATAAAGGTTTTTGTGGGTTAGATCGCGTTTATTTATAAATTTTGTCGTAACCCTCCACCACCCGACATAGCCAAAAAGTAAAAAATGTGTCACGTTGACAACAGACAAAATAGTTCACTACTTTAGCCCACCGGTGTGTTGAAGAGTGAATCCACATTTACAGTTTGAGTACGACGTAAATGTGGATTAACTCTTCAACACACCGGTGGGCTAAAGTAGTGAACTATTTGTCTTTTGTCAACGTGACACTTTTTTTTGCTGATTGGCCGTGTCGGGTGGTGGAGGGTTACGACACATTTATAAATAAACGCGATCTAACCCAAACAACCTTTATTATGAACTACGCACCCGGGTACAACGGCAATGCGCGTGCCGGAGCACTTAGCGCGTTCTGGGGTGACCGGCTACACCATGGGACGTGTCTGCCAGAGGCGCTTTGTCCATTGAAAGCTTTCGTGACTGCAGGGATTCGTCTCTTCTTGGCCCTTCCGGTAAAGTCGCCGCGTAGAATGGAAATGAAATAAGAATAATTTTTTTTTAAAAAATAACGGTTTTTTTTACGTTTTCATTACGTTTCATTTTTATTATTTCATTTCCATTCCACGTGGTGACTCTACCGAAAGGACCAAGAAGATTACGCAGCGCTTTTTTCAGAAGCGACCTGGTCATCGCAGATGGCAGCTGAACGAAGTGGGCTCATCGTCGTCATCGTCGTCGTCGTCGTCATCGTCGTCGTCGTCGTCATCGTCGTCGTCATCATCGTCGTCATCGTCGTCGTCATCGTCGTCATCATCGTCGTCGTCATTGTCATCATCGTCGTCATCGTCGTCGTCATCGTCGTCGTCATCGTCGTCATTGTCGTCGTCATCATCGTCATTGTCGTCGTCGTCGTCATCGTCGTCATCGTCGTCATCGTCATAGTCGTCGTCGTCATCGTCGTCGTCATCATCGTCGTTGTCATCGTCGTCATCGTCGTCGTCATAGTCGTCGTCGTCATCATCGTCATCGTCATCGTCATCGTCGTCATCGTCGTCGTCATAGTCGTCGTCGTCATCGTCGTCGTCATCATCGTCGTCGTTGTCATCGTCGTCGTCATCATCGTTATCATCGTCGTCATCATCGTCGTCGTCATCGTCGTCGTCATAGTCGTCGTCGTCATCATCGTCATCATAGTCGTCGTCATCGTCGTCATCATCGTCGTCATCGTCGTCGTCATCGTCGTCGTCATTGTCGTCATCGTCGTCGTCATTGTCGTCGTCGTCATCGTCGTCGTCATAGTCGTCGTCATCATCGTCGTCATCGTCGTCATCGTCGTCATCGTCGTCGTCACGTGGACGTTTCTAGCAGCAGCCAAATGACTCTGAAACGCGGCGGTGATGTCGATTCTTAAATGTGGAGGGGGGAAAAAAAAACGGAGGACCCGGAGAAGAATCCACGCGACCACGGGGAGAGAGAAAGACGCAGACTCAAAATATACAGCAGCAGCAGGAGCAGGTGTAAGGGTCGAGTTCGAACCCACGACCTCCTGCACACCAGGCGAGGTAGTCAACATCTCATCAGGGTCGGGATCTAACCCACGACCTTCTGTATACCAGGCGAGGTAGTTAACATCTCATTAGGGTCGGGATCTAACCCACGACCTCCTGTATACCAGGCGAGGTAGTTAACATCTCATTAGGGTCGGGATCTAACCCACGACCTCCTGTATACCAGGCGAGGTAGTTAACATCTCATTAGGGTCGGGATCTAACCCACGACCTCCTGTATACCAGGCGAGGTAGTCAACATCTCATCAGGGTCGGGATCGAACCCACGACCTCCTGCACACCAGGTGAGGTAGTCAACATCTCCTAGCCACCGTGATGATGATGATGAGAGAGACACGCAAACTCCAATTATACAGCAGCAGGCGTCAGGGTCGGGATCGAACCCACGACCTCCTGCACACCAGGCGAGAGAGATAACATTCTCGCTGAGGTGGCGATGCTGTTAACATCGCGGGGAGGGAGAGAGACACGACAGAAAGAGAGAGAGACAAAGACGGCAGGCAGAACTACACAATATAGAACGGTGGCGTAAACACCCAGCTGGTAAGGTGAGACCAAGGAAACGATTTTTCACGGAATGACTCATGCCGGGTGCAAGCGGCAGTGATGTTGGCAAAAATGTGATTTGTGACTTCGATCGTTGCCTGCTATGCAGGGTCGAGAGCTCAATGTGAACTTGGCGTCTGATTGAGGGACGACTGACTGCTGCTGTGTGGTGGTGTCCTGGTGTAGTCTGGGACTATGTTGTTGTTGTCTTGGTGTGGTCTGGGACTGTTGTTGTTGTTGTCCTGGTGTAGTCTGGGACTGTGTTGTTGTTGTCTTGGTGTGGTCTGGGACTGTTGTTGTTGTTGTCTTGGTGTGGTCTGGGGTTGTTGTTGTTGTCATGGTGTGGTCTGGGACTGTTATTGTTGTTGTCTTGGTGTGGTCTGGGACTGTTGTTGTTGTTGTTGTCTTGGTGTGGTCTGGGACTGTTGTTGTTGTTGTCTTGGTGTGGTCTGGGACTGTTGTTGTCTTGGTGTGGTCTGGGACTGTTGTTGTTGTTCTGGTGTGGTCTGGGGCTGTTGTTGTTGTCTTGGTGTGGTCTGGGACTGTTGTTGTTGTTGTTGTTGTGGTGTGGTCTAGGATTGTTGTTGTTGTCTTGGTGTGGTCTGGGACTGTTGCTGTTGTTGTCTTGGTGTGGTCTAGGATTGTTGTTGTTGTCTTGTTGTGGTCTGGGACTGTTGTTGTTGTTGTTGTCTTGGTGTGGTCTGGGACTGTTGTTGTTGTCTTGGTGTGGTCTAGGATTGTTGTTGTTGTCTTGGTGTGGTCTGGGACTGTTGCTGTTGTTGTCTTGGTGTGGTCTAGGATTGTTGTTGTTGTTGTTGTCTTGTTGTGGTCTGGGACTGTTGTTGTTGTTGTTGTCTTGGTGTGGTCTGGGACTGTTGTTGATGTCTTGGTGTGGTCTGGGACTGTTGTTGTTGTGGTCTGGGATTGTTGTTGTTGTCTTGGTGTGGTCTGGGACTGTTGTTGTTGTTGTTGTCTTGGTGTGGTCTGGGACTGTTGTTGTTGTCTTGGTGTGGTCTAGGACTGTTGTTGTTGTCTTGGTGTGGTCTGGGACTGTTGTTGTTGTTGTTGTCTTGGTGTGGTCTGGGACTGTTGTTGTTGTCTTGGTGTGGTCTAGGATTGTTGTTGTTGTCTTGGTGTGGTCTGGGACTGTTGTTGTTGTCTTGGTGTGGTCTGGGACTGTTGTTGTTGTCTTGGTGTGGTCTGGGACTGTTGTTGTTGTCTTGGTGTGGTCTGGGACTGTTGTTGTCTTGGTGTGGTCTAGGACTGTTGTTGTTGTCTTGGTGTGGTCTGGGACTGTTGTTGTTGTTGTTGTCTTGGTGGGGTCTGGGACTGTTGTTGATGTCTTGGTGTGGTCTGGGACTGTTGTTGTTGTGGTCTGGGACTGTTGTTGTTGTTGTTGTCTTGGTGTGGTCTGGGACTGTTGTTGTTGTCTTGGTATGGTCTAGGACTGTTGTTGTTGTCTTGGTGTGGTCTGGGACTGTTGTTGTTGTTGTCTTGGTGTGGTCTGGGACTGTTGTTGTTGTCTTGGTGTGGTCTAGGATTGTTGTTGTTGTCTTGGTGTGGTCTGGGACTGTTGTTGTTGTCTTGGTGTGGTCTGGGACTGTTGTTGTTGTTGTCTTGGTGTGGTCTGGGACTGTTGTTGTTGTCTTGGTGTGGTCTGGGACTGTTGTTGTCTTGGTGTGGTCTAGGACTGTTGTTGTTGTCTTGGTGTGGTCTGGGACTGTTGTTGTTGTTGTCTTGGTGGGGTCTGGGACTGTTGTTGTTGTTGTCTTGGTGTGGTCTAGGATTGTTGTTGTTGTCTTGGTGTGGTCTGGGACTGTTGTTGTTGTTGTTGTTGTCTTGGTGTGGTCTAGGATTGTTGTTGTTGTCTTGTTGTGGTCTGGGACTGTTGTTGTTGTTGTCTTGGTGTGGTCTGGGACTGTTGTTGTTGTCTTGGTGTGGTCTGGGACTGTTGTTGTTGTTGTTGTGGTCTGGGATTGTTGTTGTTGTTGTTGTCTTGGTGTGGTCTGGGACTGTTGTTGTTGTTGTCTTGGTGTGGTCTGGGACTGTTGTTGTTGTCTTGCTGTGGTCTGGGATTGTTGTTGTCTTGGTGTGGTCTAGGACTGTTGTTGTTGTTGTCTTGGTGTGGTCTGGGACTGTTGTTGCTGTTGTTGTTGTCTTGGTGTGGTCTGGGACTGTTGTTGTTGTTGTTGTTTTGGTGTGGTCTGGGACTGTTGTTGTTGTTGTTGTCTTGGTGTTGTCTGGGACTGTTGTTGTTGTCTTGGTGTGGTCTGGGACTGTTGTTGTTGTTGTCTTGGTGTGGTCTGGGACTGTTGTTGTTGTTGTCTTGGTGTTTTAGACTACACTGGATCTTGGGGCAAGTAGCACCACCGTTGAAGGCCGGCTTGGCACACGAGGGGGTGGGTTGCCAACACCACGCCCGGCAGGATTTGTTTCACTCGTGGCGATGTTTACTACACAACGCACCAGGTGCTCATTGAGGTTGAGCGATACCTAGCGGAGGCCAAAGACCAGTTCAGATAATTATCGTCGCTGGTGTCCGCGGCCGTGAGCGGTAAATCGAACTCGGTGTCGCCGGGTGCTTTTTACAATTTCTCCCAAATCCGAATCGAAAACTCATTTCTGCAGAACTGCTTGTTGTTACATCGCATGAATATTAATTTGTGACGTTAAGCCCGCCACCACCCGACAAAGCCAATTGGTAAGGTTTGTCACTTAAAACAAAACGCACGGACTTATAGCAAGTACAGCACACCGGTGTGTTGGAGAGTAAACCCACAACATTTACGACACTAGCAGATTCTAGTTGTAATTACTGACGACATCCAGATGATGCTAGTTGTAATTACTGACGACATTCAGATGATGCTAGTTGTAATTACTGACGACATTCAGATGATGCTAGTTGTAATTACTGACGACATTCAGATGATGCTAGTTGTAATTACTGACGACATTCAGATGATGCTAGTTGTAATTACTGACGACATCCAGATGGTGCTAGTTGTAATTACTGGTGACATCCAGATGGTGCTAGTTGTAATTACTGGTGACATCCAGATGGTGCTAGTTGTAATTACTGACGACATCCAGATGGTGCTAGTTGTAATTACTGACGACATCCAGATGATGCTAGTTGTAATTACTGACGACATCCAGATGGTGCTAGTTGTAATTACTGACGACATCCAGATGGTGCTAGTTGTAATTACTGACGACATTCAGATGATGCTAGTTGTAATTACTGACGACATTCAGATGATGCTAGTTGTAATTACTGACGACATTCAGATGATGCTAGTTGTAATTACTGACGACATTCAGATGATGCTAGTTGTAATTACTGACGACATCCAGATGGTGCTAGTTGTAATTACTGGTGACATCCAGATGGTGCTAGTTGTAATTACTGGTGACATCCAGATGGTGCTAGTTGTAATTACTGACGACATCCAGATGGTGCTAGTTGTATTTACTGACGACATCCAGATGATGCTAGTTGTAATTACTGACGACATCCAGATGGTGCTAGTTGTAATTACTGACGACATCCAGATGGTGCTAGTTGTAATTACTGACGACATTCAGATGATGCTAGTTGTAGTTACTGACGACATCCAGATGGTGCTAGTTGTAGTTACTGACGACATCCAGATGGTGCTAGTTGTAGTTACTGGTGACATACAGATGGTGCTAGTTGTAACTACTGACGACATTCAGATGGTGCTAGTTGTAATTACTGACGACATCCAGATGGTGCTGGTTGTAAATACTGACGACATCCAGATGGTGCTAGTTGTAATTACTGACAACATCCAGATGGTGCTAGTTGTAATCACTGGTGACATCCAGATGATGCTGGTTGTAATTACTGACGACATTCAGATGGTGCTAGTTGTAATTACTGGTGACATCCAGATGGTGCTAGTTGTAATAACTGACGACATTCAGATGGTGCTGGATGTAATTACTGGTGACATCCAGATGGTGTTAGTTGTAATTACTGGTGACATCCAGATGGTGCTAGTTGTAGTTACTGACGACATCCAGATGGTGCTAGTTGTAGTTACTGACGACATCCAGATGGTGCTAGTTGTATTTACCGGTGACATCCAGATGATGCTAGTTGTTGTTACTGGTGACATCCAGATGGTGCTAGTTGTAATTACTGACGACATCCAGGTGATGCTAGTTGTAATTACTGGTGACATCCAGATGATGCGAGTTGTAATTACTGACGACATCCAGATGGTGCTAGTTGTAATAACTGACGACATCCAGATGGAGCTAGTTGTAATTACTGGTGACATCCAGATGATGCTAGTTGTTATTACTGGTGACATTCAGATGGTGCTAGTTGTAATTACTGTTGACATTCAGATGGTGCTAGTTGTAATTACTGACGACATCCAGATGGTGCTAGTTGTAAGTACTGGTGACATCCAGATGGTGCTAGTTGTAATTACTGGTGACATCCAGATGGTGCTAGTTGTAATTACTGACGACATCCAGATGGTGCTAGTTGTAATTACTGATGACAACCAGATGATGCTAGTTGCAATTACTGGTGGCATCCAGATGGTGCTGGTTGTAATTACTGGTGGCATATGGATGGTGCTGGTTGTAATTACTGGTGACATCCAGATGGTGATAGTTGTAATTACTGGTGACATCCAGATGGTGCTGGTTGTAATTACTGGTGACATCCAGATGGTGATAGTTGTAATTACTGGTGACATCCAGATGGTGCTAGTTGTAATTACTGACGACATTCAGATGATGCTAGTTGTAATTACTGACGACATCCAGATGGTGCTAGTTGTAATTACTGGTGACATCCAGATGGTGCTAGTTGTAATTACTGACGACATCCAGATGGTGCTAGTTGTAATTACTGACGACATCCTGATGGTGCTAGTTGTAGTTACTGACGACATCCAGATGGTGCTAGTTGTAATTTCTGGTGACATCCAGATGGTGCTAGTTGTAATTACTGGTGACATCCAGATGGTGCTAGTTGTAATTACTGGTGACATCCAGATGATGCTAGTTGTAATTACTGGTGATCCAGATGGTGCTAGTTGTAATTACTGACGACATCCAGATGGTGCTAGTTGTAATTACTGACGACATTCAGATGATGCT